GTCATTCGTGACTGGATGTTCATTATCGCCTCTGTGTTGTCAATATTAATATTCGTCTTCATCTTCTTTTTTTTCATCTAGTTCGTTCATTTGTAAGGCTTAATTGAGTTAGCTTTTCGGAGCCGATAATTCATTGTTCTTTGTTTGTAACAACATTCACTTAATTTTCTATGTCTAGTAGGATTTGGGCCGAATACTCGCGGCATACCCGAGGTTAGAGGGGTACATTGTAGTAGGATAGGAAAAGGGGAGGAGCTTGGGGGCAGGGTTTCGTTGTCTCATCAGAGCGATGTCGCCAGTATGAACGATAGTGTGGTTCTTGATTCGTCTGGAGTTCGACCGGCTATGGTGACCAGTGGACGACGATGAGATTCATCGAGACGGGGGACAAGACAATCGTCTTCATCTTGGTGGGGATGATTATGAGGATCAATTCCAAAATGATTATTTTCATTTGTCACAAATATAGCGCTCAAGAACGTGTCGCGTTGGTTTTTACACGGATCTAGGCACTTAGAGCAAAACCGAAAAAGTTGGAAGGGTTATATACTAGATACGACCGCAAGGTTGTCGTTGGATAACGTCTGTTATGTGTTGTACTTAATTGTGTATATTATATTTTAGGAATATTCCTTAATAACTTTTTTGCGAAAGTTTGGTGGCCCTGAAGAGGGCCGTTTTGTTGGGCTGATGTTGTTGACAATGATGGAACGGGCGACCTTGTTGGACGCTTATATAGTAGAACAGAAAATATCAGAGGTGTCAGATACTCGCATCTGATGTCTCGGTTGGCGAAAGTATAAGAATATAAAAAAAATCAATCGATTTTCACCATCTTTAGACAATGGTTTACTTTTAACCATTTTTCAATAGTTTACAGAATGAAATCAATAGTTTTGAAACATTCAGCAAACTGCTAGAAATATTTCCAATCAATTGATGCCATTATCTCGTAAATCTATCGAGAGACGGTTGAGTTATTATCGTTCAAAATCTTTTAATTTTTCGTAACGCATCCAAAATGACTGTTTTCAATTTTGTACCCCCTTATGTAGCCGAAAGACGTTATCCAACGTCAAAAGTCGTTTGTTCAGAATGCCACGATGTCGATGACATCGACCACAGGTGATGTATATACTTGAGCAGGAATCACCCACATGTTCATTAGCGCCGCGGGGTGAGAAACTCCTGAACTACGGTCCACCATCCAAAAAGTCATGACCCCCTGAACAAGTTTGCCGACGACAGTAACTTTCTATATGATCAGGATCTTGAAATATTTTATGTGCAAGAATTTAACTTTTTTTCTAGCGCCGCGTAGTGAGAACATTCGGAACTATTGTGCACCAAGCAATAGGCTTTGACCTCCTGAACAACTACAGTAACATTCTATCTAATCAGGATCTCGAGGTATACCACATGTGAGAATTTCACATGTATCCTAGCGCTACGTAGTGAGAAAATTCTGAATTACTGTCAACCAGCAAAAAGGTTATAATCTCCTGAACAACTTTGCCGAAGACAGTAATTTTCTATCTGATCAGGATCTCGAGATATTCCATTTGTAATAAATTACATGTAGTATGGACACCGTTTACGCGGTTTCCATAAACATTATCTTCATTTTTTTGGGGGTTTACTGTGATCAAAAATTAGCTTGTTTAGTTCAAAACAAGTTTTTTGAGGAATACACGCTGGTTTCAGATCGATTGTTAACTCAGCAACTAAATGGCAATGGAAAACTCATATGTGTTGAACAAAGTAGAACAGCGCGAGTAACGGAGGGTTAAGGTTGCAACAATTTACAAAAAATCACGTGTCTGAGGCTTAGGGTTGTTCATGATTTTATCTTAGATCATTTAATAAAATCTTGGACGATCTTGGACTTGACACATTTCCAAAACTCTGGGACATTGCTATTTATATTAGTTCGCAGGCTTCATTCTTGATATCCCGTGCTAAGGAAATGTTCAAAATTCCGAGCTTGAACAAATATCCAAGATTCTATGTTAAATATTCGAGAAACTTAGTATCGGACTTAGAATTTTTGATATAGGTAACAACATTAAATAAAATTAGGAATTAGAAATATATTTTAAGGTAAGGCAATCAAAATTGTACATCTTAAAACCCAATTCTTTCGTAAAACCTACATTTGCCAGCAACACTGACTGGGTGTATCCAATGGCTTACTTTCCTTGCTAACATAATTCCTAAATTCCCGAGACATTTTTAAGGGTCGTAGAGTTCTCTGCATCTCTCTTAAGTAAATGTTGGACGAACATACCCTATCCCTACCAGTTGTAAAGACGTGGCCAGGACAAGCCTTAACTGTTGGAACGGAATATGTCTTTATCTTGGAGATAGTAATTATTTCCTACTTGCTATCTTGTCCAGTAATAGATATCCGTCTTGCTCTTAATAGTTTTGAATTCGTACCACCTACGATATTGTAGAAATTGTTCGATGCTAATGCTAATCTTAAAAAGCAATTCTTTCGTACTCATTCGATAGCTCTAGTTCTGAACACAGAAAAAAAAAACGTTCTACAAGTATGTTGATTCGATGGATTCATCTTTAACAAGGAGTGTAAGAGAAAGATCATTTTTAGTAAATTCTTAGATGATCGAAATCAATATGTAAGGGAAATGGATGTAATGTCGGCCTAAATGCCCCTAATTTGGACTCATACAAAAATTCAGCAATCGACTAAATTTTCAATAGCGACCAAAAATATCCATTAGTACCGTCCCAATGACGCGTTCATCTAGATAAAATTGATAAATAGCAGATTATTCGGGATGGTCCCAATCTTAGATCCATAGGCCAACATTAGAGCAATTTCGCCTGTATGTTTTTCAAAATATTCCTGCAAATATCCTAATGTTTGGCTGGAAATTTTTAGCAGATTTCCAAAGCAACTCCAGCACATTTTCTGAAGATATAAAAAATCTAAGGAGAGTTTCAAGATACCCTACACTCAAAAAAATTATCACATATCTAATGGATGAAATCCATGTGAATTTCACATAACTTTCCAGTGATCACATAGCAGCAAATCCCACCACAAAATCACATGAATATTATGAGGCGGATGAAATTCATTTGCAAAATCACATAAATTTAATGGGATCGCATAAATGTTATGTGAAATTCAGATGAATTCCATTGATTTTGATTATGGATGAAAATCATGTGCATTTCCAATGAAAGCTACATGCAAACTTTTCTCGGTGTAGCAACACACTTGTCGCAATTCGCTTGTAGCAACTTCTATACGACTTATTCCAATCAGAAACAAGTTGTGGCGAAGGTTTGCTACTCCTTCCATGTAAATTCCAAGAGGTCACATTTTGAGAAGCATTTGAAGGAAATTCTAAGGATTATTTTGATGCTCAAGTGATTATCTTCAAGGAAATTTTGGGATAACACTTTTCTAAATTCTAAATGGCATAAAGGGTGATACGGTCAAAATTTGGTCAAGGGAAAACGCGTGTAAATCGGTGAAATCGTTTATTTAAAAAATCAAATTAAATTTCTTTTTCAAGTTCAATTAGTATAAAATTCAGGAAAAATATTCAGTTAGGCTTCCGCTTTTCCAAATCCGAATTGCCGGGCCTTACGCTTGACCCCTGCCATCAGATTTTGTACAGCCACCTTCTTCGCCGCAGAAAGCCAGTTTGCCTTGAACTGCTGATCACCCTTAGCAGTTTTTTTGGTCTTCTTTAGGTTCCGCTTGAAAATAGCCCAGTATTTCTCAATTGGGCGGAGCTCTGGCGTGTTGGGAGGGTTCTTGTCCTTGGGAACCACCTGCACGTTGTTGGCGACGTACCACTCCATGGCCTTTTTACCGTAATGGCAAGATGCCAAATCCGGCCAAAACAGTACGGAACAACCGTGTTTCTTCAGGAAAGGCAGCAGACGTTTATTCAAACACTCTTTCACGTAAATTTCTTGGTTGACAGTCCCGGAAGCTATGAAAATGCTGCTTTTCAAGCCACAGGTACAGATGGCTTGCCAAACCAGATATTTCTTTGCGAACTTTGACAGTTTCATGTGCTTGAAAACATCTGCTACCTTTCCCCTTCCTTTTGCCGTATAAAACTCCTGTCCCGGAAGCTGCTTGTAGTCGGCTTTGACGTAGGTTTCGTCGTCCATTACCACGCAGTCAAACTTCGTCAGCATCGTCGTGTACAGCCTCCGGGATCGCGCTTTGGCCGTCGTATTTTGTTTATCATCGCGATTTGGAGTCACTACCTTCTTGTAAGTCGATAGTCCGGCTCGTTTTTTGGCTCGATGCACGGTTGTAGACGATACACCCAGCTTATTTGCGGCATCTCGGAGAGAGAGGTTAGGGTTTCGCTTGAAACTACCGGCAACTCTCTTTGTCGTCTCAGCGGCTTCCGGTTTTCGATTTCCCCCCGATCCAGACTTCCTGACTGTCGACAAACGTTCCCCAAACACTTTAATTACATTTGTAACGGTTGATTTGGCAACTTTGCGTGCGAGTAGCTCGGATTTTCGCGATGCGCGAGCAAAATTTTGATACGCTGCTCTTCTTGCTTGGACGGCATTTTGACAACTGAAGAGTGAATTCCAAAATAAAAATAGGAGCAACATTCTACACACACACACCTTCAAAATGAGGGGTGTTCAGGTTTTTTAAATGCAAAATTGAAAGAAATACGTCAAGTTGATATTGACCAAATTTTGACCGTATCACCCTTTACCAAAGATAAATGTAGAGTGTATTTGAAGTTTTTTTTTTTCGATGGAATTTCTAAAATGTTTTGCGACTTCTATGGACAATAGGGGGTATTCTCCGGACAATCTAAGAAAAAAATGAAACCGAGTTTAAGATTTTAAACTATTGAGCACAATCAAATTTAAGGCATGGGTGACGTGTTGCCAAAATCGAGCGGACACTGTATTTGGGAACGCAAAAATAAGGACCTCAATGCTTCTCACTGATCAAGATCATCTTCCCCCTTTTTTTTCAGTTATGACCGACAATGCATTCAAAGCGAAAGACATCGGTCTGCGGGCGCAGAAGAAGATCCTATCCCGCATGGCCAGCAAGAATGTGGCCAAGGTTTTCATCGATGGAACGACCGCATCGCTGCTGGACAACGTCTACCGGTTAGCAAAGACACACGTAAGTACTTCCCCACAAATACATCGTTGAAAACTGTACTGAATCGTGCTTTCGCTTCCCATTTCAGACCGGTAACAAGAAGGACGCGGAACGTCTAGTCAAGAACGTCATCAAAATCGTGATCAAAATTGCCGTCCTCCACCGCAACGGTCAGTTCAACGCGGACGAACTGAAGCTGGCCGATCGATTCCGAGCCAAGTTCCAAACCCTGCAGATGGCCATCATTTCGTTCTACGAAGTGGACTACAGCTTCGATCTCAACTATCTGCTCAAATCGCTACAGGAGGTACAAGCGTTGCTCAAATCCTGCGTCGAGCGGCACCTGACGGACAAGTCGATCGGCCGGATCGAGGAGGTGTTTGCCTTTTTCAGAGATCCGTCCCTGCTGGAGACGGCATTCCGGCAGGAGTCGCCCTACCGGGACCTCATGGATAAGATCATCGCCGATCTGAACAAAGCGATGGAGAACGGAGATATTTAATGGCGCTGCTGTAGCATGTTAGGCACCGTAAGTGAACCTATAAATCAGAGCTTGTTTGGACGATAATTTGTACTTTTTGTGTAGATTAGCGCGTCGTACGTGAGAATTAGGGTGGTAATTCTTGCGTGTAGTGATAATTAAGCAGGAAACTATGGTATTATTTGCTAGGAACCTGGGCCTATTTTCCAAGCCAAAAACACGCTTACTGCAATGGCTCTAATAATGCTAATTTATTTGTTGTTCTGAATTAGGTGTGTTAAGGCTTGTTGCTGATCCGTCGCTTGCCAGTCACTAGAATGGCGGATCAGCATACTCGGAGCTAAATTATCATCCTTTCGTTGATAGTATTATCAATGAGGTTATTACTATAAGTTCCAAAAGCTAGGATTACAATCGTACTGTTGCACAACAATGATGATGATACGAAGCTAGATTACACTCAAAGAAAATGTCTTAGTCATTACTGGTAGGAATGGGTAGTTGAACTTCGGGGTGATGATAACTAATGGCAGCGACTGTTACAGAGTTAGTCAGATCAAATCTACGTACTTTTATAAAACTCGTTTCAACATTTTGCAGTATGCAGAGATTAGAAAAAAAAATGAAATTCGGAGTGGTCAAGCCGGGTCTACGAAGTTCGACTACCAACGCACAGTTTTGTGTTATGTTTGGAGATGCTTGTATACAGTCGTCCTAATCTCAATATTCGGTTTCTTCATCCGCAGTCAGAGCCGACGTTCATCACACTTGCCTGTTGTTAGATGAGTGTGTAAATAATAAATAACTCATATCTTGAAAAGAAAATAACAACAACATTAATGAATGATATTTGAAGAAACAAAAGAAACAACACTGCGCTCTTTTACGCACACTGTTAGGTACCCGGAGAGGGAGGCAAAAAACTATACAGCAACTTTGCTATTGTCTAAGATTGAAATATAAATTTAAAACAGATATTCTAAGTCATATATCTTATCTACATAGACTTTTTTGAATAGGCAAAAACCGAACAAGTAACAGAAAACAACTCATATCAACGACCCGCACCGCCGAGGTCTAAAGTGGGAAAACAAATTTTCCTCAACTTTTCGAATGTACTTAAGAAGAAGCAACCACACTCACAAATTAATAGGAAAATATTCGTAGGACATATTATGTAGGCAAACTCAACAGCTGGATTTCACGTTACTCGTTTGTGCGCGGTTAGGGAAGAAATTTGAAAATGTATTTGTTAGAACAACAAGAAGAAACGAAGATATAATTTTACGACCGGAATTACAAACCAACACAAACAAACTCACATAAGAAGGACCAGTTTTTCCTTTATTTGATTTGCGAGTAAGAGAAGAAGAATTTGAGTAGATACACACATAATGGACACCGGACGAAAATTCGTATAACCAATCGAAATTGATTTGAAGAAAATCCAGTGCAAACATTCTAGACAACATATGTAGGTAATGATTGCCTTCAGAGAAAGGAAGAGAAACATTTGTGTATTGTTAGAAATGGATAATCGTTGTCTAACTTGTGGTTCGAGGTGCCTGCTGGAGTGAGTACAAGCACACCACCAACAATGTAAACAAACAGATGATATTTTGATCGGAGTTGAAAATAAAGCGGAGGTGTATTGAAACCATCGGTGTTTATAATTTATATCACAATCGCCTTTAAATACAAAGCATGGAACATATCGTAGGTATTGTTCCCGTAAGTCGGAACTAACACCGTTCTTCTAGTTGCGTACTCAGCAGCTTCAAAGCTGTAATTTATTACGTTATGTTAGTGGTGATACAAAGGTAATTATATAATAATTATCTTACATTTTCAGTGTTCTTTTACAGATTATTTCAGGTCAACGTTTGCCATGGAAGGACGATTCCAGTTCAATCTAATAGTAAGTACAATCAAGGGTAAGTATTTTAGGTCCTTTTTAGGTTACGCGACAAATCAAAGGTAAGTGTTATGTTTATGATTTCAGGGAAAACATACCTCAATAATATCTAAGTTACCACTTACTACGTGGCAAATTCAGCAAGGGTTGAATAAACCGTTTAGGTGGCTATAATAAACGTTGTTTAATCAATGTCTTCGAATTTTGAATTTACTTAAACTTACGAAAAACGTCTCGATTTTATCTCACTGCACTATCAAGTTTTCTTCAATTTTGCTGACTAACTCGCCTCGTATTGTTCTGTTTGTTTACTTCTATCGTTCACTTCGCCCGACAACAGTGTTTCGCTCGCGAGGGTTCAGTCAATTGGTTCACCACCAATTCGCCGCAACGAGGGGTATCGGCGACATCCCCCGACCCGTGAACCACTTCCGTATCCGGAGCGACTTCGTCTATCATCTTGTCCTTGCCGGCAACGTCTAGAACCGCTAGCTTCACCGCAGGTCTAGCAAACACTCCCCTAGCAGTCTGCACCGTAGCACGCCTCACCTGACCTGATTTGTCCGGAAAAATCTCCAGAATCCGTCCCCGCTCCCATCGGTTCCTCGCATGTTCGTCTACTATCACGACTAGATCGCCAGGTTCCAGCGGCTTTACTGCTTCGAACCATTTCGTTCGCCTCGTAAGCGTTGGGAGATATTCCCGCACCCATCTGCGCCAGAAATCGTCCACAATGTGCTGCGCAAGCTTCCAGCTGTCTCGAAGGATGTTCCCGTTCACAGGATCAGTCGCTGGTTGTTTTATGCCGGTAGATCCGTACAGCAGAAAGTGGTTTGGCGTGAGTGCCTCTTCGTTTGCCGCCTCCAAGGGCACGTATGTCAGCGGTCGCGAATTTACAATTGCTTCAGCCTCCAGCATGATCGTTTCCAACACCTCGTCGCTAGGATGTCGCTGACTATCGGAAATAGCCTTCATCGCCACCTTCACGGACTTGACCATACGTTCCCATGGTCCTCCCATGTGCGGAGCTGCCGGAACGTTGAAGTGCCACTGGGTATTCGCATTTGTGAATGTAGCGGCACAGTCCTCGATGATGTCCTGGATCTTCTGCTTCTCTTCTGACAACTGGCGATTGGCTCCAACAAAGTTTGTGCCATTGTCCGAAAATACCTCCAGTGGTGCGCCCCGTCTGGCTACAAATCTCCTGAAGGCCATCACGCAGGCGATCGATGAGAGACTGTGCACCAGCTCTAGATGTACAGCCCGTACTGTGAGACAGGTGAACAGACACATCCATCTCTTCACCACGCTGCGTCCGACTTTGACTTCGAAGGGCCCCATGTAGTCCACGCCGACGTACGTGAACGGTCGAACGAATGGTGTTAGGCGCACCCTTGGCAGTGGCCCCATCATCGGTGGTACAGGAACTGCCTTCTTCACCTTGCAGTACTGACAACTTCGGCCAACTTTTCGTACGAGCACCCGAAGCTTGTGTATGTAGTACTCCTGCCGTATTTCATTGCAGACTGTTTCCCCGTTGGCGTGCAGGAACCGTTGGTGGAAAGAATCCACCAAAAGGAAAGTGATACGATGATCTCTTGGCAGCACAACGGGATGTTTCGCTGCGTATGGAATGTGTGGTGCGCTTCCGATTCGACCTCCTACCCGAACGACTCCGTATTCATCCAAAAATGGAACCAGGGAGTGCAGTGAACTTCGTTTTCCAACGCTGTAACCATTTGTTAGCTCGTGAACCTCCTCCGAATACGCATGCGCTTGAGCCTGGCGCCAAAGTGTATCCTTTGCTTTCACGAAATCGTCTCGATCGAGGCCTTGCCGTCGACTTTCTTCGTACATAGTTCGCTTCCAGATCCTTACCGCACGGTGAACGTTGGCCATCGTTCGGACTAAACGATTCCATTTCGAAAAGCGTTCAACGACAACTACCTCGTCAGCCGTTTGATGTACGGCTACCATGCGAAGTTCTTCGCTTGCCGCATCCGTTTTGTCTACTACTACTGCTGATTCTCTTGGCCACTGCTCTTTTGCATCTCGTAGGAATGTTGGGCCTTGAAACCAACGGTTATCTGGATCGAACGATGGTCCCGAATTCCACTTGGTGGCATCGTCAGCCACGTTGAGCTTTGAGGGTACGTAATGCCATTCATCCACACTCGTGAGCGAAAGAATTTCACCAACCCGAAAAGATACGAACTGATGGTATCGGCGGCTGTCCGATCGCAGCCACGCCAGAACAGTAGCTGAGTCCGTCCACAGAAAACGCTTCCGAATGTTGAGAGTGAGCGCCGAACAAACGTTTTGCAACAAACGTGATCCCATCATGGCAGCCTGAAGTTCCAGGCGAGGGATTGAGAGCGCTCGAAGTGGCGCGACTTTTGTCTTTGCTGCTACCAACGAACACCAGCTACCTCCGTTGACCGACAACCGCAAGTATACTACGCATGCACATGCTGTGACACTAGCATCCGTGAACACGTGGATTTCTATTTCGCCAACTTCCTTCGGCAGAAGATGCCCGAAAAAGCAGCGAGGAACTTCCACTTCATTAATTGTTTCGTACAGCTCGATCCATCTACTCCATAGATCGTGTAGCTGCTCTTCTATGGGCTCGTCCCAGTTGGTACCCATTCGCCAGATCTCTTGCATTAGGATTTTGCCCTGTACAACGAAGTGCGCAACGAATCCCAACGGATCGTACAGCTTCATCACGGTTCGTAGAACTTGCCTCTTCGTTGGAACCACCCCGTTGCTGCCCAAAACTTCCTTGAGCCCTGTCTGATCGAATGTGAAATGATCTGCTGAAGGGACCCACACCACTCCTAAGACGCGTTCGTAGACTTCATCTTTATCTAGGTTCAGCGACTTGCAGGCTGACGATCCAGTCTCCCCTAGACGATCGAGAACATCCTGCGAGTTAGACAGGATTTTGCCGAATTCGAAGCCTGCTGCTGCGTGGATGAGCTGCACTTGTTCGACAAGCTGTACTGCTTCCTCCACCGAGTTGACACTGTCGAGAAAGTCATCCACGTAGTGGTTATTGATGATCGCATCTACTGCTCTGGGATATAGTTCCACGTAGTCGAGAGCGTTTTTGTTTTTAACGAAATGCGCCGTGCATGGAGAGCTGGTTGCACCGAACATCGCTACGTTGATCACGTAGACCTGCACTTCATCCTCTGGACTGCTACGCCATAAGAAACACTGCGACCACTTGTCTGCCTCCCTAATCAGGATTCTCAGGAACATTTCGCGGATATCGGAGCACACCGCAATCTTGCCTTCCCTGAATCGTAACAAAACTTCCACGAGTGATACGAGAAGATCCGGACCCTTTAGCAGCATGTCATTAAATGAAACACCACCCGCCTTTGCAGCAGCATCCCACACCATTCTGATTTTGTTCGGTTTCTTAGGATTCGTCACCACTCCTAACGGAAGGAACCAGACTCGCTCAGGGTTCGTGTTCTCCAGCTCTTCCGACGACACCTTACAGACGTACTGCTTCTGTTCGTAGCTCTCTATTTGCTCGTTTACTCTTCTGCGCAGCTCTGGATCTTTTGCCAACCGTTTCTCCAAACCTCTCAACCTGCTTACCGCCATTTGAAAGCTATCCGGGAAGTTCACGTTGTCCTTACGCCAGAGCAAACCCGCCTCCATACGAGTTCCTCTCCGTACCGTTGTTGCTTCTAGGATGCTGCGTGCTCGCTTGTCCTCCTCGGATTCGAGCTGCTTCGTCAAAACGGCATCCTCAACAGCGAAGAACTTTCGCATTGAATCGTGTAGATTGCTGTTACTCATCTCCTCGCAGGCATGGAGGTTCAGCTGTTCAATTGAACCTTCGCTTCCATTGTTCCTCCCATACACGCACCATCCCAATCGTGTTTTGGTTGCTACTGGTTCGCTGCTATTGCCTTCACGATTCTTCAGACTAGTCAGCAACCGTACGTGCTCAAGACCGATGATCATGCCCGGTTTGACGTTGACATAGCTGGCCACGGGAAGCCCCTGCAAATGTGGGAATGTATTTGACAGCTCTGTGTAGTGCAACGTTTGACTTGGAAGTCCTAGCTCGTGTACTGTTCGTACGTTGCTTAGTTGAAACTTTTCCTTCTTCCCAGCACCGGATATCTTCACGCTTAACCTCTTCGATGTCTTTTCGTGTCTACTGATCTTTCCGGTCCAACTCAGCCACAGGTTGTCTGGTTCACCTTCGATACCCAACTGTGCTGCGATTCCTTCTTCTAACAACGTCGATGACGATCCATCATCCAGGAACACGAAAGTTTCGACTTGCTTCCCATCTCCGTATAGCGTAACTGGCAGATAACGGAACAGAGAGAACGATTTCGTGTGGTGATGATTATGGTGAACCGTCTCGCCTGACTTTGCACCGTCGGCAGCATCGTTGCTACTACTGTGCAGCAGCATATGGTGTCGAACACGGCATCCATCCACCCCACATTCCTTTTTCGAGCGACACGGCCACTTTCGATGCGGTATCAAGCACAATCGGCACAAGTTCTTCTGCCGCATTGCCTTCCATCGGCCTCCGATGTCCAACGACTTGAAGCTGGAACAGTTCAGGATCTGATGGCCGTCTTTCTCGCAGTAGGAACACGCTTTTGACGTACTTTCTCCGACTGTACTCTCCTTCTTCGGCACGCTCGGTGCCTCGCTCGCGTGAGTGAACAGCTTCTCCTTTTGTTTCAACTTTTCCACTC